GCACGGTTTGGCAATCCGTGTGCACGGTTTGGTAATCCGTGCGCACGGTTTAGTAATCCGTGCGCACGGTTTGGCAATCCGTGCACACGGTTTGGCAATCCGTGTGCACGGTTTGTTAATCCGTGCGCACGGTTTGTCAATCCGTGTGCACGGTTTGCCAATCCGTGTGCACGGTTTGGTAATCCGTGCGCACGGTTTAGTAAATGTTTTACCATGTCCCTTCGGGGGCTCCGTAAGTATCAGCCCTCGGGTCGGTTACCTTTTTATCATATACTGCTCTATAGCTCTGCTGAACATCGATATCCTATAAATTAACGTCAGACCTATTAGCAATAACACAGAAAACACACCGAAAATTGATGTTTCGTTCTACACTCATAAACATAATATTTGAGTTATCTCCCATGGATGTGCTCCTTGTGGTCGCTCCTGATTGGCTGACTTTTCAAAATAGAGGAGCGAAATTTGAAAACATTGTAAGGAGGACCGGTCTGTGTTGATAGCATAAACATGAAACCAAAAACAGCAGATAAAAATCAAAACATTAAGGTCTCGGTAAGATGCAGGTGGGTAGTATTTGTATCAGTTGATATGTATACATGTACATGTTAGATAAAAGTATGATCAGTCGCTGGCTACGTGTTGCGACCTTCGAAGTCAGCTGACGTATCAATGCTAACCTACTGCTGAGTAGGCCTACTCACTAATGTACTGTACTGTATCACAAGGGCACGCAACTACTACTAATATGAATATTTCAGTCGATGGATACGTTATATCCAGTATTGGGAAGTCTTGCAAGTTAAATATTATTAGTAGTTACGTGCCCCTGTGACGGTATCGATTTCGGAGCACTCTCTCATGGCCGCTCGCTCATGAATATTGGGTGAATCTGTTGAAATCAAATGAAACTCAGTTGGCATTCATTTCAGCTATGAATGCCATAGACCGATTGTTGAATCATTATTATGACACCATAATTGCGCCCTCATAATTGTTACGTTGGATACCACTGACCCTCCCTGCGCGATGGCTGTTCTATTCATTGAACAAGCATACACGATACATACATTATTTGAACTAAATGGTAAATAGTAATAAGTGTAATTGAATTTTCTATGCGATCAGATGAACAGATTCTTAAAATGGTAAATAAGTATTGAACCACTTTCAGTTGGCATTCATAGGCAGTATGAATTCCAACTGTACAAAGGCAAATCCAACATGAAGTGCTAAGGCGCTTCATTTAATTTGCCTTTAAATCAAATAATATTTATTTAGAGTCGGACAATTTGTAACATATAACATGAGCTCTAAAGAGATATTTATCGACTAGACATGGATATATATATATCACAATATTATAGTAAGATATGTACAATGTTAAACAACTACATCTATATTCTAAAATTTACACAAAACATGCAAACTAAAGACTATAGTTTATAACACAGAGAGAGACAGCACAGTACTAAGACATGACATATACAGCTAGAAGTTCATGCCAACACATACATTATAATCAACATGCTAAATAAGAGACAACTGAAAGCACTAGGATAAATAAGGATAATGTAAAAGCACTAAGATAAATAAGGATACTGTAAAAGCACTAAGGCAGCATCCAATAAGCACTAAGCTGGAAATAAACATAAAAAGCTGCATAGTAATTTTAACACAGATCAAGAACAAGCACTGTATTTGCAGGACTCCCCTTCCCAACTGCTGATTTGTGATTTGAATTGATTAAAAGAAGAACTTTGTCTACATAAGTCGGGAAGAGAGTTCCATAACTTTGCCGCACTAAATCAAAAAGGATTAAGACCAAAACTTGTAGTTCTCACTTGTGGTATCTCTGCTAAATTTCTATACCTAAAAGAATAAGAGTTATTTTTCATTATAATGAGATAATAAAGATAAACAAGACTTTCTTTATGTATAATTTTAAAAGTCTCTAAAGCTAAAATTCTCATCCTTCTTAGTTTCAGGCTTGGCATCTTTGACTGCAACAGAAGTGATTCATAGAACTGTCATGATCTTTATAAATGAAACGTAAAGCACCCTCCTGTATCTTTTCAAGTTTCTTTGTTTCCACTTTGCCGCAAAAATGCCAAGCCAATGGGCAATAATTAAAATTTGACATAATAAAAGTATGATATACAGTAAGTCTACCTAGTCTGTTAAGATATGTTCCAATTCTCTTTAAGACATTTCACTGACGAGATTTTTTTTTTACAAATATTAGATATATGTTGCTTAAATCTTGGCTGGTAATCTATTGTTGCACCTAATCATTTTACACAATCCTCTGGTTGAATTTCTGTTCCTTCACTATTAAAAGTCAAATTTGCAGAATTTGTTTTCTTTCTAATACATATAGCCTGAAATTTATCTGGGTTTGCCTGCATTTGATTATTTGAAAACCATAAAACTAAATAAGAATTATTTGTTTCTAGTAAATGTTTCACATCCGTAATATTGCCTTTGTCCAGTTGGCATTCATATTGTCTATGAATGCCAACTGAAAGCAGTTCAATGCTTAAATGTACAATACATACAAGATATAAACAAAATACAAGCAACTAAACACAACTAAAAATCAATAGTAACAAACATTTATCAACAAATTCCGCCTTGGCACCTACCAGAAATGGACCTTACTAATGGTTTTTGACTGGATATAGTGTTCCAAGAAAGACAATTCAAATACTCTGAAAAGATCCCTTCATTGTGGCACTTACCGGTAAACAGACACATGTGACATATCTGCCTCAAAGAAACAGGTTGGTCATAACGGCGCAGGTCATAATTTATATCCTGCATTTGTGTAACCCATTTGAGTAACAATTTTACTGAAATGGGGAATAAAGTAAAATAAAAATACATAAAGTTCCCTTGAACACTTGGGAGGGAAATGGCGTTATTCTTTCAACTAAACCTATGAAGATGGTACGATTAGATGCCAAGATTCCTCTGGAATCTCTTACTGTTAAATGTCAATGCAGTATTTTCTCCAGGTTTTAACAAACACTGAGCGTTGATGGTGTTATATAGGCCTAACCTTAATATAGAAATATGTGGCAGGTTTTACATAGGATTTGAGCTAGAGGGAATTTCCCTTTAGCTCAGCGGTATAGTGTCCGACTAGGAACCTGGAGATCGAGGGTTCGATTCCCAGTCGAACCACACTATTCTCTTTCCTGTTACAAATGGTGTCCGTGGCCCTCCCTGTGGTGACAGGGAGTTAGAACCTGGGCTGTGGTGTTCGAAGAAGAACATATTTAAAAAGTTGGGAGGAGTGTGGCAGGTTTTCATTGTACATAAAAATGTGGGATTAAGGTCACCTTCTGGCTTCGAGCTAGAGGGAATTTCCCCTTAGCTCAGTGGTAGAGGGTCTGACTAGGAACCTGGAGATTGAGGGTTGATCCCTGGTGGAAGCACACTATTCTTTTTCCTGTTACAAATATATGAGGGGATGAACACAATCCCCGGGGCCCCTTCTGGGCTCCTTCTGGAGAAAACACAGTAAATGGAGAAAAATAATTCCCGATTCTAACCTTTATTCATGTTTCTAAATTAGTTTGAGTTATGAATTATTTTGTTTTCCTGGTAAAAACATACAGAAAATGTTTTGTCATTGTTCAGACATTCAGATGTGCACATGTCTAAAAATGCCTTTGGGCAGGGTCACTCTGATGGTCATGTGATGCAGCTTGATACGATAACTGCTTTGAAATACATACACTACAAAACTTATATTGTACCACAGCCCCAAAATCAGACTTATGAAAAATGTCTATGCCACAATACAAAGAAACAAGAGACAATGTGTATATATTCTGATATTACTTTATTATAAATAGCTGGAGAGCTACTTGTTTTGATTTTTTTTTTATCTGACTGCTTTATAAAATCTGAAGCTTGTGTTGTCACATTTAACTTTTAAATGTCACTAGAAAAGTTGACACTCTGCTATTATCATGAATGATATTACATAAGTTAAGGATCATTGTCCGACGGAATTGTTTTTTTTCTTTCGTATATATATAAAGCAACTTCCCTTTGTCTTCTGTTTTTCGTATAACTGTAGCACAGTCGGACTAGCTAGGACACAGTCGGGCCAGGACACTTCTGTTTTGATATAACTGTAGCACAGTCAGACTAGAACACTTCTGTTGTGATATAACTGTAGCACAGTCAGGCTAGGACACAGCTGTTGTGAGATAACTGTAGCACAGTCAGGCTAGCACACTTCTGTTGTGATATAACTATAGCACTGTCAGGCTAGGACAATTATGTTTTGATATAACTGTAGCACTGTCAGGCTAGGACAATTATGTTTTGATATAACTGTAGCACTGTCAGGCTAGGAAACTTCTGTTTTGATATAACTATGGCACTGTCAGGCTAGGACACTTCCGTTGTGATATAACTGTAGCACTATCAAGCTAGGACACTTCTGTTTTGATATTACTGTAGCTCAGTCGGGCTAGGACACTTCTGTTTTGATATATCTGTAGCCCAGTCAGGCTAGGACACTTCTGATGTGATATAACTGTAGCACTGTCAGACTAGGACACTTCTGGTTTGATATAACTAGCACAGTCGGACTAGGACACAGTCTGGCCAGGACACTTCTGTTTTGATATTACTGTAGCTAAGTCGGGCTAGGACACTTCTTTTGTGATATAACTGTAGCACAGTCTGGCTAGGACACTTCTGTTTTGGTATAACTATAGCACTGTCAGGCTAGGACACTTCCGTTGTGATATAACTGTAGCACAGTCAGACTAGAACCCTTCTGTTGTGATATAACTGTGGCACAGTCAGGCTAGGACACTTCCGTTGTGATATAACTGTAGCACGGTCAGGCTAGGACACTTCTGTTTGGATATAACTGTAGCACAGTCATGCTAGGACACTTCTGTTGTGATATAAATGTAGCACTGTCAGGCTAGGACACTTCTGTTTTGATATATCTGTGGCACAGTCAGGCTAGGACACTTCTGGTTTGATATAACTATAGCACTGTCAGGCTAGGACAATTATGTTTTGATATAACTGTAGCACTGTCAGGCTATGACACTTCTGTTTTGATATATCTGTGGCACAGTCAGGCTAGGACACTTCCGTTGTGATATAACTGTAGCACTGTCAGGCTAGGACACTTCTGATGTGATATAACTGTAGCACTGTCAGGCTAGGACAATTATGTTTTGATATAACTGTAGCACAGTCTGACTAGGACACTTCTGTTTTGATATTACTGTAGCTAAGTCGGGCTAGGACACTTCTGTTGTGATATAACTGTAGCACAGTCAGGCTAGGACATAGTCGGGCTAGGACACTTCTGTTTTGATATAACTAGCACAGTCGGACTAGGACACAGTCGGGCCAGGACACTTCTGTTGTGATATAACTGTAGCACAGTCGGGCTAGGACACTTCTGTTGTGATATACTTTAGCACAGTCAGGCTAGGACACTTCTGTTTTGATATAACTGTAGCACAGTCAGGCTAGGACACAGTCGGGCTAGGACACTTCTGTTTTGATATTACTGTAGCACAGTCGGACTAGGACACAGTCGGGCCAGGACACTGTCAGGCTAGGACACAGTCGGACTAGGACACAGTCAGGTTAGGACAGGGCTAGGACACATTTGGGCTAGGAAACGGTTGGGCTAGGACACGGTTGGCTAGGACACAGGCTAGGACACGGTCGGGCTAGGATACGGGCTAGGACACAGTTCGGCTAGGACACAGTTGGGCCAGGACACAGTCGGGCTAGGACACAGTCGGGCTAGGACAGAGCTAGGACCGGGCTAGGACAGAGCTAGGACACTTCTGTTGACAAGCTCAATTAGTCCATTTTTCGAATCCGGATCTAGCCCTGCTGAATATTTTTCTATTCACTGTTAACGTTGTTGGTTATATTTTTATCATTTCATTTTTATGATTTCTCCTCAGTTCCAGCAAGGTAAGGTTTTCTTTTCAGAAATGATTTATTAGATCTATAGTCGTGCCTGAAAAAATAGTTTTCAACACTTAGTTACTGTTTTTGGTAGTGGTACGCAGATCTTAAACGAGAAAGAGAGCTATTTTGTAACTTCAAATTTCCACTAAAATATTCCCCTTGTCTAGGAATGGGACAGTATTCCATTTGAAAGTAGAACCAGCCATGTAATATTTTGTGAAAAAAGGCTGAATCACTTAATAAGGATTACTTAAAGATGAGCTAAAACGGATCCTGTCACAATAATAATTGCTTTTAATTTAATTTAAATTTAACTGTGATTTCACACTGACAGATAAGTTTGCACAGACATTTGTTCCTGTCAGTGATCTAAAGTACAGGAAAAGAAATAATGTCTGAAAAATGAGATTTATTGTGTTAGTCTTAAAGAAATTTGCACTGATGTTTCCAGTATTCTCCGGATGTTATGAGTGGATCTGGTAAGGGTTATTCTAGCTATAGGTCAGTCAGTATGCCGCTGAGGCTGGAGAGCTGTATCCATGGCTACAATAATGAAACCTGATACTAACTCCCATTGTTCAAATTCAGCAGTTAAGAATTTTGTTTGTGTACAAAATCATGTGAACACAATTTTGACAATAATTTATTTTCTTTGTTTTAGACCAATAAATTCACAGGAAAAGAAACAAGGCTCTTTTTCTGTACTTGAATGCAATGCTGAAAAAAAGGAGGTCACTGTAAAAGAACGTCTAGGTGTAAATCCCAACACCAAATCCTTCTTCTTCGATCATGTTTTCCCGCCATCGTCCAAACAGATGGATGTCTATCAGTCTGTGGTCACTCCCATCATCGACGAAGTTCTCTCAGGATACAACTGTACTGTCTTTGCGTTAGTATTCATACACACATTTTATTTGGCTCCGACCACAGAAATAAACGTGTACAATTTTTGTTCATGTATAATGTCTTTGATTCAAATGTTAATGCCAGTAATGATACACAACACTTTTGACAGAGCTAGCACTGTCACCCGTGTAGTTTAATGACAGAGCTAGCACTGTCACCCGTGTAGTTTAATGACAGAGCTAGCACTGTCACCCGTGTAGTTTAATGACAGAGCTAGCACTGTCACCCGTGTAGTTTAATGACAGAGCTAGCACTGTCACCCGTGTAGTTTAATGACAGAGCTAGCACTGTCACCCGTGTAGTTTAATGACAGAGCTAGCACTGTCACCCGTGTAGTTTAATGACAGAGCTAGCACTGTCACCCGTGTAGTTTAATGACAGAGCTAGCACTGTCACCCGTGTAGTTTAATGACAGAGCTAGCACTGTCACCCGTGTAGTTTAATGACAGAGCTAGCACTGTCACCCGTGTAGTTTAATGACAGAGCTAGCACTGTCACCCGTGTAGTTTAATGACAGAGCTAGCACTGTCACCCGTGTAGTTTAATGACAGAGCTAGCACTGTCACCCGTGTAGTTTAATGACAGAGCTAGCACTGTCACCCGTGTAGTTTAATGACAGAGCTAGCACTGTCACCCGTGTAGTTTAATGACAGAGCTAGCACTGTCACCCGTGTAGTTTAATGACAGAGCTAGCACTGTCACCCGTGTAGTTTAATGACAGAGCTAGCACTGTCACCCGTGTAGTTTAATGACAGAGCTAGCACTGTCACCCGTGTAGTTTAATGACAGAGCTAGCACTGTCACCCGTGTAGTTTAATGACAGAGCTAGCACTGTCACCCGTGTAGTTTAATGACAGAGCTAGCACTGACACCCGTGTAGTTTAACGACAGAGCTAGCACTATCACCTGTGTAGTTTAACGACAGAGCTAGCACAGTCACCTGTGTAGTTTAAGGATTAGGCGATGAATGACATTGCACAGGTATCCTGTCTGCAAGACAGGCTATATATATATATTCAGCTTTTAAAGACCAAAAAGAAATTTGCAACTTTTTCCTCTTTAATTTATGTTACCAAAACGTATTTAGATTTCCCCCCAGCTCAAATAAGATCTTATCAGAGATTTTCTAAGGTCTGACAAACACTGGGTAACACTGGTATTATTTCCACACCAGGTACGGCCAGACAGGTTCGGGAAAGACCTTCACTATGGAGGGGGATCGCACAGATGACCCAGACATTTCCTGGGAAGAAGACCCCTTAGCTGGTCTAGTTCCCAGAGCTATGAACCACATATTTGAGCAGCTGAAAACTCAGGTAATACCATGTATAGAAGGACTGTAACAGTCAGGTAATACCATGTATTCCGTCTTTGCATATTGCAGAGTTATCTTCTCTTGTGAGCAGGTATTGATTGTTACGTCACTTGTTTGTGAGAGTAACATCATCAATTTTTGAGAAAACGACGTAATTTTCTCACACAAACCAATGACGTAACAATCAATACCTGCTCCCAAGAGAAGATAACTCTGCAATACGCAAAGACGAAATAGACCGTAACAGTCGGGTAATACCATTTATAGACCGTAACAGTCAGGTAATACCATGTATAGACTGTAACAGTCAGGTAATACCATTAATAGACTGTAACAGTCGGGTAATACCATGTATAGACTGTAACAGTCAGGTAATACCATTTATAGACTGTAACAGTCAGGTAATACCATGTATAGACTGTAACAGTCAGGTAATACCATTTATAGACTGTAACAGTCNCTGGTTTCGAAGCAGTATGCTTCCATTGTGGCACAGATGACAATGTGGCTACATCTGAGGAAAACTACCCGTTATGCCAGAACTGTTTGACCAATGGCAAGGTCACTGTAATTAAAAGAGGACGATATGTGAAAAAGTAATGTGGTGTGTATTCATACCAAAAGTTAGTACAGATATATATGTGGACTGAACAGTGAAATGGTGTTGTATGTGTATACTGCATACTCAAAGTTGTTATTAACAAAAAATAAAGATAAATGTATACTGAACATGCGCCTTTATTGCACTATTTTAACACATTTGGAACCATTTGAAATTTTTGGAAAAATAAAAAATAAAAAATAAAATTCGCCCCCCCCGCCCCAATTTTGAAAAGAATTTGGATGAGAATCTAGCAATTAATTTATTATGGCCTAACAGTCAGGTAATACCATGTATAGACTGTTACAGTCAGGTAATACCATTTATAGACCGTAACAGTCTGGTAATACCATGTTTAGACTGTAACAGTCAGGTAATACCATGTATAAACCGTAACAGTCAGGTTATACCATGTTTAGACTGTAACAGTCAGGTAATACCATGTATAGCCTGTAACAGTCGGGTAATACCATGTTTAGTCTGTAACAGTCAGGTAATACCATTATAGACCGTAACAGGCAGGTAATACCATGTATAGACCTTAACAGTCAGGTAATACCATGCTTAGTCTGTAACAGTCAGGTAATACCATTTATAGATCGTAACAGTCTGGTAATACCATGTTTAGACTTTAACAGTCAGGTAATACCATGGTTAGTCTGTAACAGTCAGGTAATACCGTGTATAGACTGTTACAGTCAGGTAATGCCATGTATAGACTGTAACAGTCAGGTAATACAATGTTTAGACAGTAACAGTCAGGTAATGCCATGTTTAGACAGTAACAGTCAGGTAATGCCATGTATAGACTGTAACAGTCGGGTAATACCATGTATAGACTGTAACGGTCTGGTAATACCATGTATAGACCGTAAGAATCAGGTAATACCATGTATAGACTGTTACAGTCAGGTAATACCATGTATAAACCGTAACAGTCAGGTTATACCATGTTTAGACTGTAACAGTCAGGTAACACCATGTTTAGACAGTAACAGTCAGGTAATGCCATGTTTAGACAGTAACAGTCAGGTAATACCATTATAGACCGTAACAGTCAGGTTATGCCATGTTTAGACTGTAACAGTTAGGTAATACCATGTATAGACTGTAACGGTCTGGTAATACCATTTATAGACCGTAACAGTCAGGTAATACCATTATAGACCGGAACAGTCAGGTAATACCATGGTTAGTCTGTAACAGTCAGGTAATACCGTGTATAGACTGTTACAGTCAGGTAATGCCATGTATAGACTGTAACAGTCGGGTAATACCATTTATAGACCGTAACAGTCAGGTAATACCATGGTTAGACTGTAACAGTCAGGTAATACAATGTATAGACCGTAACAGTCGGGTAATACCATGTTTAGTCTGTAACAGTCAGGTAATACCATTATAGACCGGAACAGTCAGGTAATACCATGGTTAGACTGTAACAGTCAGGTAACACCATGTTTAGACAGTAACAGGCAGGTAATACCATGTATAGACTGTTACAGTCAGGTAATGCCATTTCTAGACCGTAACAGGCTGGTAATACCATGTTTAGGCTGTAACAGTCAGGTAATACCGTGTATAGACTGTTACAGTCAGGTAATACCATGTATAGACTGTAACAGTCAGGTAATACCATGTTTAGACAGTAACAGTCAGGTAATACCATGTATAGACTGTAACAGTCAGGTAATACCATGTATAGACCGTAACAGTCAGGTAATACCATGTATAGACTGTAACAGTCAGGTAATACCATGTATTGACCGTGACGGTCAGGTAATACATGTACCAAGTATAGGACAGTAAATGTTTAAAAAGTCTTCAGATTTTTTGTGTCTACATGTAATATATGTAAATTCAGAAACTGAATATATATTAATTAATACATTTGTGGTTATCATTGGATATCTTTGACAAACTGCATGAGTTCTCATGCCAATTAAATTTGTCAGTTAATTGAATTCAAGTTGAATTTAATTGTTACAAAACTTCATTTTCTTTTGACAAATGATATGTTAATTTTGTTTTAAGGATGTTGAGTTTTCTGTGAGAGTCTCATTTTTGGAGCTTTACAACGAAGAATTATTTGACCTTTTGGGATCTGGTGATGACACGTTGAAACTCAGGATATATGAGGATAGTACAAAAAAGGTAACTACAGCTGACCGTATATTCTCCCTGTAACAGTAATGTGACCACTCAGGATGTATGAGGATAGTACAGAAAAGGTAACTACAGCTGACTGTATATTCTCCCTGTAACAGTAATGTGACCACTCAGGATGTATAAGGATAGTACAGAAAAGGTAACTACAGCTGACCGTATATTCTCCCTGTAACAGTTATGTGACCACTCAGGATATATGAGGATAGTACAGAAAAGGTAACTACAGCTGACCGTATATTCTCCCTGTAACAGTTATGTGACCACTCAGGATATATGAGGATAGTACAAAAAAGGTAACTACAGCTGACCGTATATTCTCCCTGTAACAGTTATGTGACCACTCAGGATGTATAAGGATAGTACAGAAAAGGTAACTACAGCTGACCGTATATTCTCCCTGTAACAGTTATGTGACCACTCAGGATATATGAGGATAGTACAGAAAAGGTAACTACAGCTGACCGTATATTCTCCCTGTAACAGTTATGTGACCACTCAGGATATATGAGGATAGTACAGAAAAGGTAACTACAGCTGACCGTATATTCTCCCTGTAACAGTTATGTGACCACTCAGGATATATGAGGATAGTACAGAAAAGGTAACTACAGCTGACCGTATATTCTCCCTGTAACAGTTATGTGACCACTCAGGATATATGAGGATAGTACAAAAAAGGTAACTACAGCTGACCGTATATTCTCCCTGTAACAGTTATGTGACCACTCAGGATATATGAGGATAGTACAGAAAAGGTAACTACAGCTGACCGTATATTCTCCCTGTAACGGCTATGTGACTGATGAGGCTATTTTTTCCAGAGTGGTTGTGCCTCCACCAGAGTGGTTGTAAAACAGAGTAAGTTTGAAAAAATATGTTTTTAGTGATTGTATTGGTTGTTTGAGGCATGTTATGTATGTTCATCTTGTGCATAAAGAATAGATCTTTCGATCCATGTGCGACATGTGTGTGAAAGTGACGATTTGTTTCTAAAATAACAGGCGCGGGTCGCATATTTCCCGCATATTATAGAGGGCCGGAGTTCTGACGTTAATCGACGACAGACCGATATAAAAAGTCGATAAAACGTCAGAATAATTCGGACTTCTGCTATACGAATGATTCAACGTACATCAAAGGACCGTACGAGGCTACTTGTACCGTTCATCAGGTGACACACACTGAGCCTTCAATTTTTTCATGACATATTCAAGTTGTGCAGAGAGCATAAGTCTGAGTAACCCCAGGAGTATTGAGGATGTGTAATCACATTAACCCCATCAATAACGGATATAATCTATCAGTTTCTATCTGGGTTTCAATTTGTAATATTTGTGAAATGCTGTGTAAGCCTATGGTTACCACATGTGTCAGTATAGTCATTATGTACTACTTGATATGATTGGATAATTTCAGGGCTCTGTTATCATTAACGGCCTGGAAGAAGTCGTGGTCCGCAACAAGACTGAAGTCTTTGAGATCTTGGAGCGAGGAACAGCTCGTAGACAAACTGCTGCAACATTGATGAATGCACATTCTAGGTAGGATTTAACGTTTCATTTCAGACCGAATCATTTTACATTATGCTCCTTAACTTTTAAAGCAAATTTTCCTCTGCTCTAGTTATCAAAGCAAGGATCAATCTGTCTGAGTTAACTACTATATGATACAAATCTAGCACAGGTTATGATATTACATGTTCCTTTTTGAGATACAAGAAAGCCTTATATATGTTGACATGTATGTCATAGTGACATAATGATGTGACATAGTAACACAAAGGAACCATAATATGACGTCATGGGAAAGATAAAATATGACATCGCAAGCAGCGTTCAGCAAGAAAGAACATGTGCAAATCATGAAAGAAAGCAAATGATAGATGATGACAACCGTTGTTTGGAACATGTTACTGATAAGAGAAACACTTATCCTCAATAGTGAGGGTATACCAGAGAAATCTCAACTCTTGGGCTGAGAATCTTGAATGTCTAATCCTTGGCTTGAAGCGAGGCACGGGTTAGGTGTTTAAGAATATGGAGTATCAGGTTGAGATTTCCTTGTCATACCTTTGAGGTAGGCAAGGTTCGTTGGTTCGGTATTTTGGTGATGAATGCAATTGATACAAACTGTTGTCTATTTCAGTCGCTCGCACACAGTGTTTTCAGTGACGATTCATATCAAAGAGAGCAACATTGAAGGGGAGGAACTCATGAAGACAGGAAAGTTGTATTTGGTATGTAATACCTGATCCATACAATAATTTACATATTATTTCAATGTTTGTTTCTTCCCATATATGTAAAAGAAAGTTCATTGAAGGGCTGTTCCTTTTAAATGTAGCCTGTAGTATATATCCCACCTGTAATATATACCCCACCTGTAATATCTACCCCACCTGTAGTATATAACCCCACCTGTAGCCTGTAGTATATCCCCCACCTGTAATATATATCCCCCACCTGTAATATATACCCACCTGTAATATATACCCAACTGTAGTATATCCCCCACCTGTAATATATTCCCCACCTGTAGCCTGTAGTATATATCCCTCCTGTAATATATACCCCACCTGTAATATATACTTCACCTGTAGCCTGTAGTATATACCCCACCTGTAATATATACCCCACCTGTAGCCTGTAGTATATACCCCACCTGTAATATATATACCCCACCTGTAGTATATACCCCACCTGTAATATATATACCCCACCTGTAATATATATACCCCTCCTGTAATATATATATACCCCACCTGTAATATATATACCCCACCTGTAGCCTGTAGTTTATATCCCACCTGTAATATATACCCCACCTGTAATATATACCCCACCTGTTATATTAACCCCACCTGTAATATAAACCCCACCTGTAATATATATACCCCACCTGTAATATATATCCCCCACCTGTAGTATATATCCCACCTGTAATATCCCACCTGTAGTATATACCCCACCTGTAATATACCACCTGTAGTATGTACCCCGCCTGTAATATATACCCCACCTGTTATATTATCCCCACCTGTAATATAAACCCCACCTGTAATATATATCCCCCACCTGTAGTATATACCCTACCTGTGATATATACCCCACCTGTAATATATCCCCCCCCTGTAGTATATACCCCACCTGTAATATATACCCAACCTGTAGTATATACCCCACCTGTAATATATACTTCACCTGTAGCCTGTAGTATATACCCCACCTGTAATATATACCCACCTGTAATATATACCCAACTGTAGTATATACCCCACCTGTAATATATACTTCACCTGTAGCCTGTAGTATATACCCCACCTGTAGTATATACCCTACCTGTGATATATACCCCACCTGTAATATATACCCCACATGTAGTATATACCCCACCTGTAGCCTGTAATATATACCCCACCTGTAAATTGTAATATATACGTTACCTATAATATATACCCCACCTGTAAATTGTAATATATACTTTACCTGTAATATATACCCCACCTGTAAATTGTAATATATACGTTACCTGTAATATATACCCCACCTGTAGTAAATACCCCACCTGTAATATATAACCCACCTCTAGCCTGTAGTATATAACCCACCTGTAATATATACCCCACCTGTACACCTGTAAATTGTAATATATACCCCAACTGTAATATATATCCCACCTGTAGTATATCCTCGACCTGTAGTATATACCCCACCTGTAATACATACCCCACCTGTAGTATATACCCCACCTGTAACATATACCCCACCTGTAGCCTGTAATATATCCCCCACCTGTACACCTGTAAATTATAATATATACCCCACCTGTAGTATATACCCCCCCTGTAATATATACCCCACCTGTAGTAAATCCCCCCCCTGTAATATATAACCCACCTCTAGCCTGTAGTATATAACCCACCTGTAATATATACCCCACCTGTACACCTGTAAATTGTAATATATACCCCACCTGTAATATATATCCCACCTGTAGTATATACTCGACCTGTAGTATATACCCCACCTGTAATATATACCCCACCTGTAGTCTGAAGTATATACCCCACCTGTAATATATCCCCCACCTGTAGTATATACCCCACCTGTAATATATACCCCACCTGTAGCCTGTAATATATACCCCACCTGTACACCTGTAAATTATAATATATACCCCACCTGTAGTATATACCTCACCTGTAATATATACCCACCTGTAATATATACCCCACCTGTAGCCTGTAGTATATACCCCACTTGTACACCTGTAAATTGTAATATCTACCCCACCTGTACACCTGTAAATTGTAATATATACCCCACCTGTACACCTGTAAATTGTAATACAATCACTTATGTTCCTGGTCATATTTTGGGAAAAAAATATTTATGTTCCGGGTCATATGCAGGAAAAATCACCTAAATTCGAACCATGTAGTATTGTAGGGTTAGGGTATAGTATTGTATTTTGATTTAAAAAATAACTCAAGTTTTGGTTTTTGTCACATTCTGTCTTTATTAAATGTTGCCTCTTGCATCAATGTGGTATTGATATTGATCAAGGAAGATAAGACATTTTTTTTCAAAGTTGTCCATGTATTAAAATTTGTTTACCATAGGATAAATTTAGGACCTGCAATAATGTTACAGTCGTAGATTGTAGAATTTAAATACCATGGACAAAAGCTCTATGTAATATCGATTTCACTTATAGACCTACTGAAATTTTTATTGACTCAACTGTTACCAAGTATATTTTACGAAGTTTCATTTTGTGCTTGATACAGGGAATTACACCACCAGGTGTAATGGTTAAGGAAGCAAACTATCAGGACCGTTTATTCCCTCACTAGTAACTACATGTACATACTTGTCACTGAATAATACCCATCATAGGGAATTACTTATTAGACAACTTGATCAGTAAAGTAAATCATTCCCATAGTCTACCATTAATCGAACACTGGTATTAAGTCGAAGTACAGTTGTACCTGTAGTGAGGGCCCATCCTCTGGAAGTCCAATAACTAAAAACAAAAGCAATTGATTTGCATCTGGGGATGTATTTTGAGGGGGAATGTTATATCCCAATTTGTTTTGGACAAAAACAGAATTGGTTCCGTTCCATATGTGGCTAGAAACTAGGTGATAAGTTGGATAACAAGCACTTAGGTTGGTGGTGGTTTTAATCAGAAGATGATGTACAGGGGATAGATTTTAATTATGTAGTTCTATGCAGGAAAAAGTTTAAATACTTTCCTTTTTATTTAATTTATTTATATTATTTCTGCAGTATAATAAGAACATAATTACTTACTTGGTATGGTGATAGTTGAAACAATTAGAATGTACTTATCTAAACTGAGGTGCTATTTGCCACTTTTCTATTTGTTGAAATTGACAGTTAAGTAATAATATTAGAAAGGATGATTTATTACATTTGCCCTGTGCCAGTGTGTTAACTATTTGCCCTGTGCCAGTGTGTTAACCATTTGCCCTGTGCCAGTGTGTTAACTATTTGCCCTGTGCCAGTGTGTTAACCATTTGCCCTGTGCCAGTGTGTTAACTATTTGCTCTGTGCCAGTGTGTTAACTATTTGCTCTGTGCCAGTGTGTTAACCATTTGCCCTGTGCCAGTGTGTTAACCATTTGCCCTGTGCCAGTGTGTTAACCATTTGCCCTGTGCCAGTGTGTTAACTATTTGCCCTGTGCCAGTGTGTTAACTATTTGCTCTTGCCTGAACCTGATCATTTATTGCTCCTTGCATCAGACAAGTGCATTTTTTTTGCCCTACTGTAGTACCTAAGGTGTTGTTAATTTAAAATTATGATACTGTGCAATATCTCTACAGCACCCGTAATAATTACCATGGTGACTGGCCCTTTACAGTAGGGGTAAGCAATAATATTGTCTTACCAATACATTTCAATGTTTGTCTAGCAATATATCGACAGCACCCGTAATAATTACCATGGTGACTGGCCCTTTACAGTAGGGGTAAGCAATAATATTGTCTTACCAATACATTTCAATGTTTGTCTAGCAATATATCTACAGCACCCGTAATAATTACCATGGTGACTGGCCCTTTACAGTAGGGGTAAGCAATAATATTGTCTTACCAATACATTTCAATGTTTGTCTAGCAATATATCTACAGCACCCGTAATAATTACCATGGTGACTGGCCCTTTACAGTAGGGGTAAGCAATAATATTGTCTTACCAATACATTTCAATGTTTGTCTAGCAATATATCTACAGCACCCGTAATAATTACCATGGTGACTGGCCCTTTACAGTAGGGGTAAGCAATAATATTGTCTTACCAATACATTTCAATGTTTGTCTAGCAATATATCTACAGCACCCGTAATAATTACCATGGTGACTGGCCCTTTACAGTAGGGGTAAGCAATAATATTGTCTTACCAATACATTTCAATGTTTGTCTAGCAATATATCTACAGCACCCGTAATAATTACCATGGTGACTGGCCCTTTACAGTAGGGGTAAGCAATAATATTGTCTTACCAATACATTTCAATGTTTGTCTAGCAATATATCTACAGCACCCGTAATAATTACCATGGTGACTGGCCCTTTACAGTAGGGGTAAGCAATAATATTGTCTTACCAATACATTTCAATGTTTGTCTAGCAATATATCTACAGCACCCGTAATAATTACCATGGTGACTGGCCCTTTACAGTAGGGGTAAGCAATAATATTGTCTTACCAATACATTTCAATGTTTGTCTAGCAATATATCTACAGCACCCGTAATAATTACCATGGTGACTGGCCCTTTACAGTAGGGGTAAGCAATAATATTGTCTTACCAATACATTTCAATGTTTGTCTAGCAATATATCTACAGCACCCGTAATAATTACCATGGTGACTGGCCCTTTACAGTAGGGGTAAGCAATAATATTGTCTTACCAATACATTTCAATGTTTGTCTAGCAATATATCTACAGCACCCGTAATAATTACCATGGTGACTGGCCCTTTACAGTAGGGGTAAGCAATAATATTGTCTTACCAATACATTTCAATGTTTGTCTAGCAATATATCTACAGCACCCGTAATAATTACCATGGTGACTGGCCCTTTACAGTAGGGGTAAGCAATAATATTGTCTTACCAATACATTTCAATGTTTGTCTAGCAATATATGTATATCAATTTAGTTTTGAAATGGCAATAAATTGAAAGAAATTTTCAAGTAAGTTTTGGAGGTTTCACCACAGCTAGTAAATGATCTTACAGAAATAGTGTTATCCAAATTTAGCTTGTTTGGTGTGATGACCTCCAAAACTTTATACATGTACTTGTAATAATGAAATGATTTTCAATTTACCATTGAAAGCTGCTGAACAGATTGACACTTTTGATATTTCCAATTTGAAATTGTTAAAAAATTCACTGAGTTTCTTGGAATAACAATCTGATGAGATATTACATATTACAATATGAAAACTACTTACCCACCCCTACTTCACAGCATCTATATCAGTGTCCAGCAGTCAATCACACAGTTCAAAATCACATTTAACAGCTTCCTTATACATATAGGTGGACTTAGCCGGCAGTGAAAACATTGGTCGTTCAGGAGCTGTAGACAAACGAGCCAGAGAGGCTGGCAGTATAAACCAGAGTTTACTTACCCTAGGCCGAGTGATTACTTCTCTGGTGGAGCATGCCCCTCATATACCCTACAGGTAAGTTTATAGAACACTGTCCCCCATCACTCCCATACCCTACAGGTAAGTCTATAGAACACTGTCCCCCATCACTCCCATACCCTACAGGTAAGTCTATAGAACACTGTCCCCCCTCCTTACCCCCATACCCTACAGATAAGTCTATAGAACACGATCCCCTCCTCAGCCCATACCCTACAGGTAAGTCTATAGAACACTGTCCCCCCTCACTCCCATGCCCTACATGTAAGTCTATAGAACACTGTCCCCCTCCTCACCCCCATACCCTACAGGTAAGTCTATAGAACACTGTCCCCCTCCTAACCCCATACCCTACAGGTAAGTCTATAGAACACTGTCCCCCTCCTAACCCTCATACCCTACAGGTAAGTCTATAGAACACTGTCCCCCTCCTAACCCTCATACCCTACAGGTAAGTATATAGAACGCTGTTCCCCTTACTCCCATACCCTACAGGTAAGTCTATAGAACACTGTCCCCTCCTCAACCCTGTACCCTACAGGTAAGTCTATAGAACACTGTCCCCCTTCTAACCCTCATACCCTACAGGTAAGTCTAAAGAACACTGTTCCCCTCACTCCCATACCCTACAGGTAAGTCTATAGAACACTGACCCCCTTCTAACCCTCATACCCTACAGGTAAGTATATAGAACACTGTCCCCCCTCCTAACCCTCATACCCTACAGGTAAGTCTATAGAACACTGTCCCCCTCCTAACTCTCATACCCTACAGGTAAGTCTATAGAACACTGCCCCCCTCACTCCTATACCCTACAGGTAAGTCTATAGAACACTGTCCCCCTCCTCACCCTCATACCCTACAGGCAAGTATATAGAACACTGTCCCCCTCCTAACCCGCATACCCTACAGGTAAGTATATAGAACACTGTCCCCCTCCTAACCCTCATACCCTACAGGTAAGTATATAGAACACTGTCCCCCTCACTCCTATAACCTACAGGTAAGTCTATAGAACACTGTCCCCCTCCTAACCCTCATACCCTACAGGTAAGTCTATATAACACTGTTCCCCTCCTAACCCTCATACCCTACAGGTAAGTATATAGAACACTGTCCCCCCTCACTCCTATACCCTACAGGTAAGTCTATAGAACACTGTCCCCCTCACTCCTATACCCTACAGGTAAGTCTATAGAACACTGTTCCCCTCACTCCTATACCCTACAGGTAAGTATATAGAACACTGTTGTTTCACCCCGTACCCTACAGGTACGTCTACGATCACTAGCTTTCCACAACTGGGTCACAGGTGCAAGGCCTATGTGGGGCAGTCGCCAGGTACAAGCGACAGGTAGTTTTTTTCCCTCTGGGTACACTGACCTTCCTCCACCACCAAAACCTGGTACATTCATAGATGATCATAGCTGTTAAAGGATGTAAAAACATATACAAAAAAACACACCTCATAGCATACAGATCAGTTTATAGAAAACTGACCCACACCGCCATCGCACTCCTACTCTACAGGTATGTCTTAAGGACATACCCCTCATATTCTATGGAAAAATTCCCCATTTAGTTTCTTTCAAAAACATAAAGTATAAATGGAGTAGTCATCTCACTCTTGGTGGGTTCACCCGTTGCTCTGCAATCAAGTCCGTATGTGATTGTATAGATACATTGGTTAATGAAAGATGAGAGGGCTTCGTACTGTTTTATTATCCAGATGAACTTTCATGGTATGACATCATCCTTTACTACGAATGTTATATGTCTGTAAATCTTTTTTTTAAAGAAATTGTTCATAACAAAGATTGTTTTTTATATATCCTGAGGCCTGAAGTACTGTTATACTGGGCTGGTCTGTATGAGTTGTCCTTACTTTGACATGTTTTGTGTAGGGAGAGCAAGCTGACCCGCCTACTACAGGACTCCCTTGGGGGTCGCACCAAGACTTCCATCATTGCTACTATCTCACCGGCAGCCTGTAATTTGGAGGTAAGTCTTAGCTAGAAAATTCAAAAGCTGATCAGTTCTGAGAAAAATAAAGTTAACCAAGTAAAAAGTTTTTGCTTTTGTATAAATTCATCTTCAACAATCGGTCATGAAAAAAAATAAACAAAACTACTAGCCGCCTCCTACTGGCTCAGCTAGGGAGAATTTCTGTTTAGCTCATTTGGTAAATCGTGAGACTTGTAAATCACAGTTCCGGGTTCGAATTCTAGCATAGGTTTTGAAAATATAATGACCTCTGCTACATATGAATGATCTAAATTGATTCAAACTTTAAAAAATGATGTTTTTATCTTCAATAATCTGTTATGGAAATAAATTAACAATACCTGGGACATTTGTATGAATGATCTGAATTGATTAAAACTTTTCCAGGAATCGTCTCAGTAATGTAGTGTTAAATTTCTCTATTTTCTCTCTTAGGAGACCCTGAGTACATTAGACTATGCTCACCGGGCCAAGAACATCCAGAACCGCCCAGAAATCAACCAGAAGCTCACCAAGAAGGCTCTAATGAGGGTATATACACCTCATGTTTTCCTTGTCACGAAGCAGATGATCAGCAATGTTAATATCTAGTCATCCAGCATTGCTTAGTCTGTAATTTATAAATGTCTGTCATATTTAGGTTAAAAACCATTGTTTGCTGAATGACATGAAATTTGACAATCAAGACAAATTGGTGTTGAGTTTCAATTTCAAACAGGTCTTTAAGAGCAACATTGTTTGTCTAAGATATGACTGTTGTGGTTACAACATTTCAGCCCCAAATACCCAAAATATGTCCCCTACCTGGGTACTCAAAATATTGAGCTCTTGCAAAACACACCACTGTTGAGAAGGGGTCTATATCAGAGAGATGATAAAGTCTGTCATCTGTGACTGGGCTTTGTTGATGATAGTATGGATTTCTTTTCTTTGAATTAACTGGCGGTTTATAATTGAGGAACAGTATATCAAACCCTCGCACTAAGGTTACAAATGACAGTAAAGTTTAGTATGTACTAAAACCTAATCAGAACGTTTAACACATTTACTGCACATGTACAAATAGAAGACAAACTCTGATTTATCTAGAGGCTTCAGTATTGTCCTGTTCCACAGTAGCGTCCTTGACACCGGCACAGTACTGTAATCCTGTAGTGGCCATCTTCCACGTCCTTGACACCGGCACAGTACTGCAATCCTGTAGTGGCCATGTTCCACGTCCTTGCCACTGGTACAGTACTGTAATCCTGTAGTGGCCATGTTCCACATGCTTGACACTGGCACAGGACTGTAATCCTGTAGTGGCCATGTTCCTCGTCCTTGATACCGGCACAGTACTGTAATCCTGTAGTGGCAATGTTCCACGTCCTTGACACCGGCACAGTACTGTGATCCTGTAGTGGCCATGTTCCACGTCCTTGCCACTGGTACAGTACTGTAATCCTGTAGTGGCCATGTTAAACGTCCTTGACACCGGCACAGCACTGTAATTTTGTAGTGGCCATGTTCCACGTCCTTGACACCGGCAAAGTACTGTAATCCTGTAGTGGCCATGTTCAACGTCCTTGACACAGGCACAGTACTGTAATCCTGTAGTGGCCATCTTCCACGTCCTTGACACCGGCACAGTACTGCAATCCTGTAGTGGCCATGTTCGACATCCTTGACACCGGCACAGTACTGTAATCCTGGAGTGGCCATGTTCCACGTCCTTGACACCGACACAGTACTGTAATCCTGTAGTGGCCATGTTAAACGTCCTTGACACCGGCACAGCACTGTAATTTTGTAGTGGCCATGTTCCACGTCCTTGACACTGGCACAGTACTGTAATCCTGTAGTGGCCATCTTCCACGTCCTTGACACCGGCACAGTACTGTAATCCAGTAGTGGCCATGTTCCACGTCCTTGACACTGGCACAGGACTGTAATCCTGTAGTGGCCATGTTCCTCGTCCTTGATACCGGCACAGTACTGTAATCCTGTAGTGGCAATGTTCCACGTCCTTGACACCGGCACAGTACTGCAATCCTGTAGTGGCCATGTTCCACGTCCTTGCCACTGGTACAGTACTGTAATCCTGTAGTGGCCATGTTCCTCGTCCTTGATACCGGCACAGTACTGTAATCCTGTAGTGGCCCTGTTCCACGTCCTTGACACCGGCCCAGTACTGTAATCCTGTAGCGGCCATGTTCCACGTCCTTGACACCGGCAAAGTACTGTAATCCTGTAGTGGCCATGTTCGACCTCCTTGACACCGGCACAGTACTGTAATCCAGTAGTGGCCATGTTCCACGTCCTTGACACTGGCACAGGACTGTAATCCTGTAGTGGCCATGTTCCTCGTCCTTGACACCGGCACAGTACTGTAATTAATCCTGTAGTGGCCATGTTCCACATCCTTTACACTGGCACAGTACTGTAATCCTGTAGGGGCCATGTTCCTCGTCCTTGATACCGGCACAGTACTGTAATCCTGTAGTGGCCATGTTAAACGTCCTTGACACCGGCACAGCACTGTAATTTTGTAGTGGCCATGTTCCACGTCCTTGACACCCTAGAGGCTTCAGTATTGTCCTGTTCCACAGTAGCGTCCTTGACACCGGCACAGTACTGTAATCCTGGAGTGGCCATGTTCCACGTCCTTGACACCGGCACAATACTGTAATCCTGTAGTGGCCATGTTCCACATGCTTGACACTGGCACAGGACTGTAATCCTGTAGTGGCCATGTTCCTCGTCCTTGACACCGGCACAGTACTGTAATTAATCCTGTAGTGGCCATGTTCCACATCCTTCACACTGGCACAGTACTGTAATCCTGTAGTGGCCATCTTCCACGTCCTTGACACCGGCACAGTACTGTGATCCTGTAGTGGCCATGTTCCACGTCCTTGCCACTGGTACAGTACTGTAATCCTGTAGTGGCCATGTTAAACGTCCTTGACACCGGCACAGCACTGTAATTTTGTAGTGGCCATGTTCCACGTCCTTGACACTGGCACAGTACTGTAATCCTGTAGTGGCCATCTTCCACGTCCTTGACACCGGCACAGTACTGTAATCCTGTAGTGGCAATCAGAAAATCACATCAGCGAACATTAGAATGCATTTAACCAGTGTAATCTTTTCAATTACACATACAAATCAAGTGTAACCTAGTCTTGCCCAAGTCTTCATCACATGTCTGTCATAAACACACAATAGGTTCCGAAGGGAAATACAGCCATTAGAAAACTAAATGATATTTCTTGTGAACATGTTCCAAAAAGATAAAAAATGTTGTCTCGAATGACTTTCAACAAAACAAGTGGTTAGGATGTTTAAAAGTTTCATTCTTTCATGTGTGTTGACACAGGCTGTATGTTAGCTAAGTGTGTTGACACAGGCTGAAAGTTAGCTAAGTGTGTTGACACAGGCTTTAAGTTAGCTAAGTGTGTTGACACAGGCTGTAAGTTAGCTAAGTGTGTTGACACAGGCTGTAAGTTAGCTAAGTGTGTTGACACAGGCTGTAAGTTAGCTAAGTGTGTTGACACAGGCTGTAAGTTA